AGTGCATTCTTGGAAGCGTCCAGTGTCACCAGCTTGCCGCAGAACTGGTCCAGCATATGCAGGCTTCCCAGGCGCTTCTCGTGAAGGTCCAGATCTGTGATATCTTCCCAGTAAGGCTCATACGGCTCAACCTCACTAAGCTTGTCCACAAGTTCCCGTATCGTCATGGACATGACCTTCTTAGAACCATCTCCAGTGGCTGCATGCCGTCGACCCATGACATAGCTGACCTCGAAGCCGAAGGACTGATCCGTATTATTGATAGTGAATTCAGACAAAGGGCTGAGGGAAAGCTTTCCTACATTCTGGCCAATCATGACACTGTCGTCTGTGGGCGTTGGGTAGAAGTTATTATTTGGTGTTGGGTTAACGACAAAGCTGAGACTGGTGCGGCGGCCGTCGGGTGTTTTGTGACTGACGACGCTTGTGTCCCCAATGATGCTGACTTGGCGTTGGTCATCAATAGGAAGCTCGATGGTACTATCCTCGTCTTGCTCATCAATTCGCGAAACAGGTCGAGGAACAAATGTTGGGCCATTTCGTGAGGGGATGCGGTTGCTCCAGCCCTGTCCATTGCCACCATTCTTCAATGCTGATTTCCCAATACTGGCATGGCCCGGTGACTTCCTAGGCGATGAACTGTTGTTGAGATGGCCATTGGGAAGCTCCGGATCATCCTCCAGGTTGTCCAAGTCCTCTGCCACCACCACATCTTGTATGATGGATGCAACCGGCGAGGAGAACGTGATGGTGAGATTACGCTTCTTGGTGGTCGTCGAGGGAGTACTGCTGGCCTTGTCGTCGTGAAAGCTGCTCTCATCTTGACGAGAATCCTCAAGATAAAGCTCGGAATCTTCCATTACCCGGGCATCTAACTTCTCGAACTCTTCTCCGACAAGGCTGGCCATCTCTGGGCTCAGCTGCCCATCAGGTGACAATGTCGTAAAGCCTCTAGCAGATCGGAACTTTGCAGATTTAGATGGACTGGTCGGCGACCTCGCCTGGCTTGGACTGCCAGCTGCGTTGCTCTTCTTGGCGGTAGTGAGAACGAGATTCTGCATCTCTCTCGTCAAATCCACAGACAAATCTGGGATGCTGGCGAAAGGATCATCCTCGCTGTCCGAAGGAAGAACATTCATGGGCCGCCACGTAGGCGTTTCCTTCTTCTTGATCCAGATGTTGTTCTGCTTATCGAGATACATACTACCCACTCGATCCGGAATAAGATGTGACACACTTTCGGGCATGATAGTCCTTCGGGTCTCGGAGCCATGCGAGGACGTTGTAGGATAGGTTCTGTTTGTCGAAACCCCTGATGACTGCGAGTGATAGTCGCGTGATGGGCTCGATGGCAGCGCATCGTGAGCAGGGCCGGCTGACAATCGAATGTTGGGTGGATCGCTGATGACTTCGTCCTCAGTGTTGTATGACAGCTCTGATCGCTGGCGGGGTGCCTTCTCAATTTCCCGCTCAACTTCTTGATCGGCAAGAATTGCTTCTTTGACCATGCCCATGGAGCGCATAGACAGCGTGATGATATCTCCCATGTCACTAAACTCTTGGTACTTCCTCAACCGCTTGATCAGCTCTGGGTCCTCTTGATGCTTGGGTGGTCTGGGCATAGGGTTTCCTTCTCGGCTTGGAGGACGAGACAATGGCTCATTCGTTGACTCCTGATAAGAGTCATCGAGGTCATCTCCTTCGGGTGTGCCATGCTCAGCCTCTGATTCTTCAACACTTGAGAGGCCTGGTGGTCTCACTTGGTTGCGGATCATGGCCATGATCTGTGCAGCCTGGTCGACAAAGTCCTGAGTCCTAATAGACGGCTTACGGTCAACTTCACTATGGCCATCCGTAGTATAGCCCAGAGTCTCCTCCTGCAATGCCCGGACAAGAGTCTTCTTCGGCTTTTCGTGGGTTACATCATCCTCCGAGTGCATGGTCTCGTTCGGCTCACTACGCTCTGACGAGCCACGGCTAGGCGTAGGACTGCGTGGGCGGAGAATGTTTCTCATTGCAAGCACGTTAGGGTTCGCAAGCTGGAACTCACTAGGTCGTGCATCCTTGCGTTTCTTTCCCATGATCGACTGCATGTCACGACTGGCGGATTCTACCCCTTCCAATCGATCCTCTCGGCCAAAGGCAATGTCAGAACGGTGCAGCGTACGCCGACGCTTTGGCGTTGGATCCTTAGACGGAGACGTTCGAGGTCTCTTACCCTCTGATCCGCTATCGCGCTTGGGGGTATTGGCATTGCCTGGAGCACCCTTTGCTGGATTCAGAGATTTGCTGTGGATGTGACTAGAACCTGAGATTGTCCTATGATGCTTACTACCAGATGATGATGTGGACTTGCCGCGGCGTCTGTGAACAAGTAACTGGGCATCGTGGCTGGGAGATGCTACCTGCTCCGGATGTTGAAGAACTGACTGAACGGATTGGATATCCGGTGATTGAGGGGCGTCATTTTCCTTGTCGGAATAGACTGCATCTCCTTGAGAGACATAAGAAACTTCCTCACTAAACTCGTATCCTTCAAGATCTCCAAGGCCAAACCGACTGAAAGATCTCCCACTGATGGGCCTGTGACTCGTTGTCGGCAAAGCAGGGCTGGACATAGAGTCTCCGTATTCGTGAGCGGGCATATCAGACTGATCATGAGGAGCTTGGGATCCTAAGGATTGCCGGGAAGGGGTACCCGACATGCCTTCCTCGAATTGACTAATACGCCGGAGGAGTGTTTGGTTGGTAAAGGTATCATAAGGGCCAAAAAGCTTGAGAGGGCTTCCAGCAGATGGCGCACTTCTGCCTGAAGAAATCTGCTTCTTGTCTGGACTGGGAAAAGGAGCTCGTGGCAAGGACGGGCTGATGTTGAAGTAGTCGTTTTGATATGGGTTGGTAACTTCCGTTCGTACGGAAGGAAACTGTTTGGGAGTGCTGGCCTGCAGGGACTCCTCTGGAAGCATTCCACTTGTGTCAACGCCCAAGCCGGGGCTGAGATCACGATAGCGAAATGAACCATCTCCTGATCGACCCCCTCGTTGAAGGTTCAAGAATCCACCTTTTGTTGCATATTCTTCAGTGTCCTCAGGAGTAGCAGAAGCTTCCGGATTAGGCTCGTCAAATCCCGTTTTAGGGTCAACTGCAGGATCGAGAAGCATCTGATTAATGCGCAAGGCTTCAAGTTTCTGCTTCAATCTGTCTGCTGGCAGCTCAATGGGCGCAAAGTCCATTTTGCCGTCCTTGTCGCTCTGCTTGCCGATAAGAATGGGACTGAAATCTTCGTTGCGAATTACGCTTTGGCCGCTAATCTTTCGAACGCTATTGTTCGTCTCAGAAGCAGCGCTCAAACAGCTTTCCTCGCGATAAGACTCGTCTCGCTGTCTTGAGGGGGTTTCATCTCGGGAGCTGGGTATACTAGACACCATAGAATCTTCCACATTAAGCTTGTATTTGATCTCTCTTTGTGCCCTTCGGGGGCTCGGGCTCGGTGTAACATCGTTTGGATACAATGGCTCTTGGTCCTCGAGTTCATCAAGTTCGTCGAGTTGACTGAGATCGGGTTCGAGGTCGTTGCTGACAATGCGCTGGGGGTATAATGGTGGACTAGACGGCATCATAGATGACTCCAGGCGCGCCTCTTGGTCTGCATCGTCACCTGAGGCGTCGGGTGGTCTGAACATGTCTTGTAATCCGGTCGCAGCTGAGCAAAACAGGTCGCGCTGTTCGCCATACTGAACGTCGCCATACACCAGTCGTTTCTTCCACTCTGGTGTATCCTGTTGCCTTCCAGGTGACGATTTGTGTTGAATAGTGTTATGAACAACGGATGCGGTCGTGGAGGCAGACACAGATCTACTGGCAAACCTTCCAGGTGGGAATTTGGAGCCTTGTGATGATGGTCTAACAATGCGCTGACTTGAAATGTTGATATCATTCGCGGTGCGCTCGCTAAGTATGTTGAAGCTCGAATCGCGAGCAGCTGATGATAATTGGGGTCGTGAGCCTAACGTTCTACGCGGTATCCTACTCGGCGTCTCTCTTGGTTTTGTTGTGGGCTCTTCGGTATCTTTCAGAGGGGGGAGTTGAACGGCAGAGGAATCAGATCTGGGCTGAGAAACCCAATCCTCGGACAATGAGTCCAACCAAGCGTGCTCCATGGTGTCACCCTGGAAGCGCGAATCAAGGTGGTGTAAAATGTCAATGCGAAGCCATGAACTAAACAAAAATCGTATGCGGCGGTTGGTGGTGGGGTCGCGAGGTGATGTGTTTATGTGTAAAGGTACTCAAAGACAAAGTCGGAGAGGAGGGAGGAATGAGGATGCTAAGATGAAGATGTATTAAATCACAGACGAGAAGTAGGGCTGTTGAACTAAGACATGGGGTCTCGACAAAATATTTAAACAAACAAGCACATGCGAAATACAGATCGTGAGACGACGTTGTTTGCGCGTATCCTTGAGCTTTGGAGAATCGAGATAAACAAGACCAGGGTCCTTGTTACAGTTAGAGCCGTTGCTCTGTCAACGGTGGGACTCTGCCGGGATCACGTGCGCTAGCCATTTTCTTGAACGATCTTGTAAATGGTGATGAGGTTGAGCATCTATAAATGAATCGAACTCCTTCTATAAATGACAAGATGGTTTTGATTATGAGCGTAATGCCCATTTCGAGTTGAAAGTCTGCAAACCGAGTGATATCATGGGACGAAAGGCCTGGTTTGGTGCAATCATGGTACTTCGGAAAGCATTTGTAACCCTCATCACTGGTCTTCATATTTCAAATAGGAGCAAAAACATGAATGCAAACACCTTCTCTATTGTTTCCTCTTCTATGCCATTCATCAATAAAAGAACGTCTGCTGTGAACGGTCTTGCCTTGCTCTGTGTCACTGTCATGACGTACAGTGAAGCACTTTACGCGACTCCACGTGACTCCACGCGGGGCGCGTCTCCCCTGGTGATAGACCGTGCATTCCATTTCTTTGGACAGGGATCGTTAATCAATAGAACGGTCCATCAACCCAAACAGTCGGTCAACGCTATATATACGTTTAAAGACAACTCTTTTGCATCTGGAGGGCGCAAGCCTCCAATACTATCAACATGGCCACCCAGACCGCTGATCCTCTAGCGGACGAGCTCGCTCTGGGATGGGGTGAAGACACGATTTATTGCGAAGCGACTTGCGACCCTGAAGATGTCTTGTACGAAGGTTCAGATGACGAAAACTACGATAATCCCATATCAAGAAAACTACGTATCGAAGCAGCCGGTCAACGATTTCTCGACGGGAAAACACCAGTACTCTTGACCGCATTACTCAGAGGCCCCTTTGATGCGAAGTCCTCGAACTGGGTCAACCCTTGGCGTTCAAAGCACCGAACGGCTGCAAATGCAAGAATAATAAGGACGTCGCCCGGGAAATTGAAAAGGTCCGCCAACGTCAGACGCAATATATCTATACCAGAAACAGCCCAGCCAGCTAGCGATAGTCTGGAATGTCACCTCCCGAGCCCAGAAAGCCTTAACCAAACTTCCGAGACCGAAACACACCCTTATTTGGAAGAAGATGAACTCGCCAAGGTCCGAGAATGGAGAGATGCCGTGGACACTGAGAAGAAGCCGAAGGACGAGTTTTGGGCATCGACACCGCAAGGGTCATTGTCTGAGAGAAAGCGAAAAGCGAAGGGATCTTCGTGGTTAAAACATTTGGCGAATAAGCGACGACGAACTGATATCATGGAAACGGGCTCCATCGATACTCCAGTCCCATCTCGAAACCAACCTTCGACTTCAGCTACGAATGCGTTCAACACATCTTTTTCAAGTGTTCCCGATCGCTTGCCATCTTCCGCTATTGCGACAAAGAGATACTTCTCAACTTCGCAACATGAACATCCTACTTCAGAGGACGAACTATCCCGCGATAAGGTTACGTTGGATCGAGCCTCTGCGCCTTCGTCGTCACCTTTATCCTGTCTGCAGTATACCCCAGTTCTGGACTCACATGCGAATCTATCATCACAAGGCAGCACCGACCAACAGACACCAAGCAAGGTCTCAGTTCCTCAACGAGGCTCTGTACCTGGAGCAACTGGTTTGGGAGCTCGAAATGAAGCTGCTAACAGTCCAACACTTCGCTCAGCTTTTGAGACTCAAGAAGATGAAAGTTTCTGTTTCAAAATGCGACCAAAGCTCAATCAAGATGTCGAAGCTGCATCAGAGCAAGACGTCTCCATGTCCAGAAATGAGGACACTTGGTCTGGCTTGTCATCACCCAATGATGACATGGCCAGCACAATATCTGATCTGCAAGATAGTACACCAGTGGAGGAGGGGCGCAGTCTAAAAGACTCGGAATCCGCGATGGAAACTGACCAAATCGCCATGACAAGTCCCCTATCATCCATTTCAAGCAAGGAGTTTGGCGGATACGACATTTCTGAGGAACCTCACAACCGACCGCATAGTGCCAGTTGTTCTTCAATGATTGACTCCACACCATCTGATTCGGAACTCACAAGCTGTCCTAGTCAAGAGTCAGCGGAAGATGCAATTGAGGTCATTGCTGAAGAAACGCCCAGCGAGTGTCAACAAGACACAGAGTCAGAAGATGAGGACATGGATGAGACTGCCGATGTCACCAGCAGCCTGGCTGTAACTGAAAATCACGAGGGCAGTGGCACTGCTTCTGTAGATGAATCTAGCGAAGAAGAGGAGGAGGATGGCAAAGCGAAAGCCACTGAAATCGTATCCCCAACAACGACAATCAATAAAAGGACGCCACAAACCTTGGCAGGACGTCGCGAGGCTGAGACGACGCCATCAAAATCCACAGCATCGAAACTTGGCAATGACAACTCAACACCTTCTCATGCTGATTATCTCCTTCGGACTTCAATCAAGAAGAGGTTCATTCCTCAAAGCTCTTGGGAAAAGTTGGCAAAATTGACTGGAAGTCCTTCTTATCAAAACTTGCCCCAAAGAAGAGCATCTCTTCCATCGAAGCAAGCCTCCAGCCCTCCCAGTGCTCGACAAAAGACAGCATCGGTTCAATCTACTCCCAAGACGACGACGACACGTCGAGCTTTGAGTCTTCCTCGGCTTTCTTTACAGAACGTGAGACCAACTGTTGTCAGTAGTCCAGCCAAGGAGCAACAGCTGGAGCAAGAACAGCGCCAGCCCAACTCACCACAAAACACACATATTCCTTTCTCACAGCAGACCCCATGGGTCGCTAATAAGCTTTCTCAGTACGCTACACTGAGCCTGGGCAAGATATCCACGGACAGCCCTATGCCGGAGTCAAAGGAAACGAACACTATCGTGGCTGAATCCAGCCCTGTGGAACAAACTCCTTGGACAGACGAGATGGCCGAACTACCTACAAAACCGCTGACCCTGACGCCTGTTGGCGAAATAGAAGATCGCTCGGCAGCCGAAGAGTCCAACACACCAGCCGTTGCATCTCAAGTTGACACGCCACTACAGGATGCCTCTGCGGCAGCCACAACAGTCATAGAATCAACACCCGAGCCTCAATTCTCTGTCAAGTCATTCGCATCCTTCAGATCATCTTCCACAGAGCACAGTTCCCGTAGAAGCAAGGGCGCTATTTGGAGGGGATCGGGTGCTCGTATGCTAAGTACGCAAGGCATTCTGGCTTCCGCAACCAAGAATCCTTGGGTGGTCAGGAGTTCTGAACGACGAGTCTCCTTCGCACCGCTACCCCTTGAGACCAAGGGATATTCAAGTAATCCAACAACACCCTGCCCATCTGCGTCTAAGGGACATCAAGGCTCCCCACCACCTGATACTCCTATGTCTGAACTACCAACATCAGGAGATGACAAGTTCCATAAGCACTTCGATGCTGTGGCACGGGGTCCTATCATCCGTCACAAACAGCGCTTGCTGCCATCGGAATCACAGCGTACAATTGGCAGTCCAATGCCAGATGCCATGGCAGAGGCTTTCCTTTCGGCAGACCAGTTGCGTCAATCGACTCCTGCGGATCCGACTAAGAGCGATCGCGAGTCCGACGAGTCGCAAGATCCTCTCGATATGGCGGAGGATGTTTTCCGCGAGATGGACCATGTTTTCGAATGGAATCTCAGTGGAACAGAGCCATCACCTCAAAAGACTCAGGGGCAACAGAGTCCATGGTGAAAGGATCACCGGGAACGTTTTACAACTATTCGAAGACTTCATCACGGGCTTTGCCCCTATGGATATACTACTTTCACAAAAAGTTTTTTGTTTCTCATGCATTAGCATTCATACCGAGCGTCGTCGACCTCGAGCGTGTCAGGAGTTTAAAGGATGAACAGGGAATGAAAGACACGACAGCCAGACTATGGGAGTCATATATGGAGGTTCACATACCACTCAGGCGTATAACGGGTAGATACCTCAAGTAGATTCAACACGAATTCAAATTACATTACATATGCTCAGGTTCATAATTGTTAAGTGAGGGACTAGCAATGACGCGACACATAGTCTCTGTTACAGAGGCAACAGTATCAAACTCGAAATTGAATCAACGACACGCGTTGATGTAGAATAGGACCAGCTCAGAGCTACAAAAGATTGACTACGTATTGTAGACTCAGTCAAGTAAGTCCCTATTGTTCCAACCACGTGCAAGCTCAACATTCCGGGGCCCTGGAAACGAGCTGACAAGCTTTCTCAAGCCGTACCTCGTAGCATTCGATTCTGACACCGCTTCTTACAAATGAAAATCATGACGAAGACGCATAAAAACTCTTTTCCTTCGCCTATTCGAAAAGAAACGTGCATGATGCAAGGCATGTAATGCTGTCTCCCTTTCATCGCCCATGAGCCCGCAGTGACGGAGCTGATTCGCCAGGAACCAAGTGCGCCTCACAGATCTTTAATTGAACTTAACTAAACTTACGTTTTGGTGTTTTTAATGGCAGTATGTAATGATTATGCCAAGTGGTACAACGAAGTACTTTCTCGCCCTGATTACACGCCCCCTGGCGGCACATGGTTGCGAGGAGAGCTGTTTGTGGATGGGTTGAGTAGATCGACGATTCAGTGTGGTGAAAGCTTTGGCCAGTGGAAGTTTCGGTGTAGACTAGAAGCAGGGACGGAACGTGTGTCAAGAGGCCGGAATCGTATTCTGGAGATGATCTCTCAGGGGGATACTTGTCGTCCGTGTTGAGAAATTGAGGATTCGATTCCAGGGCTGTTTGGATATCTCACTGACACAGCGGGATCGGGGGTGGAGCAGTTTTCCGCCCAGTCCGGTCCCGGGAACGGTAATATGCATGCTCTGGAGGAGAAAGCTTATTAGTCGGATCTGAGGAATAGATCCACGCAATATCTTGATGTAATTCCGGTCTTGCCTTGCTAGGTCTGTCTTCTCGTCTCCGGCTGCACGTTGCGCTTGGTTAAGAAGACCCATTTGCAAGAGTCAGATGACCACGAAGTCTGTGGGTTTGTGGATTTGTATCCATATTCTGGCAGATCTCTTAGAGCGCGAATGAGGTCTTTTTTGGAAGAATACCAAGAGGCGGGGGATCTTGATGCAGAGCGAGGCCGAGTTGAGCGCTATTACCAGCCAGATAACACTCGACCGGATCTTTATCCCGGCTGAGGCGGCTAGAGAAGGGCCTGCATTGATAACCATCCTTCAGACACTGTCTTTGGTGAGAGTGACAGAGAAGCACACGACATATCCAAAGGATCGGCCGGTTCTCCTTCCACAGTGCTTCCCCTTCCCCTTCCCCTTCCCCTGAATTGGCGCTGAGCCAACGCGTAGGACATGTCTCACTCGAGATAGTCCATGTCACTCAAGATTGAAGCCGGGGGGTAACAATGAGGCCGGGTTGTGTCGAAAGTTGAGGATTTCGAACGTCATGGAACGTAAAGTCGAGGCACGTTGTTGAGAGACGGACAACTATTGGCCGAAGATTGATGTGCACATCTCTGGGACATTGACTTTGGCGAGATAAAAAAGAGTCTGGCTAAAAGATGGGGTAGATCAGTGACTTTGATGATTGGACAATCGAGGTAGGGATGGTCAGGGCAGGGCTACTTCCATGGGTTGATGTGTCTTGATAGTTGGTGTTGGTGTAAGAGATCCAAGAGCCACTTTGGCGGGATGGGACGTGCCGCCATCGTGTAAGCTACAGTAGCTCAACGAGATGATCCGGACCAGGCACAACGTTTCCACTGCATCAGTTGAACGAAACTTTTCATCGTCCATGCGTTTTGAGAAACTGTAAATTTGTCCGGGGCACCGGGCAAGTTTGATAACAAAAGTATCTTTTACCGGGGGCGATATAGGGTAAGATCTAGCCACGGATGATGCTTCAGTGCACGCCTCTTTCGGATCAAGGGCTCGAACAAATTCCACCGATTAAACGTTGCAGAATAACATCCATGGCTTCATGCAAGTAAGTATTCGCACCGTTGGCGGCCGCAGTCATATGTGAACTCGGCTCTTCTGTCTTCTTTCTTGCGGCTGATGCATATTAGCGGGGATATATCTCGACAATGATCCAACGTCTAAAAACACACCCCAATAATATAAGCTAAGCGCACAATTGTGACAATAGAAGAAAGAAATAGCGTCTCATGCAATATACCCTACTCTGCAACGGGTATTCGGTAAGGGATTTCCTGAAAGTCAGTTCAGGGGAATATGATCGAGCTCAAACAAAGAAACAAAACTCATAATCAGCCCCAGGGGGTACGGACGGCAGGGCTAGAGCCATTCAACAGAGTTGCAGAGAAAACGTGTCTCGAGGGTTTCATTGTGTCATCGGAGATTGATGAGCTGGCTATGATGATGATGATGGAATGAGGAAGCTCTGTGCTCTGGTCAGCGACTGAGAGGACCGGACGTGGCAAGACGACACCAGACTCTCGCTCTACTGGCTAGAGCCAACATGTTGTGTAATGGATAATAAAATGTAAATTGTAAGCCGCAGACCGAGTTTGTCGTCTGAACCAATACCAAACCATCCAGATGTCTGTCTTGTCTTGTGTTGGGGTCTCAATCCAGAGAATCTGGGGTTATGATCAGCGCATAATAAAATCGCACTGTCGGCGCAACTGACCTGACCTGATATCAACAACACCATCATGGATGCATTGCAAAGATGTCATGATCTTGGCCAATTTCGAAGCATCACATGACACCCTTTTGGATTCCCACCAAACGGAGCCCCGCATTAAGATTGTTCTAATCGAGACACTATTTGATAGACGCATTGATGGAGGGTGAACAAGACGTGTGCGATGATGGGAGAGTATGACGAGATTTGTTAATGATGGGCAGTTCCTTAAATTCTGTATTATGCGATGAACATGCATTGGGAGTTGTTCGATTAATTCTTAGAAGTCTGCCGAGTATTGTAACACGCCTTTGACTTACAACCAATTCACAACATCAGCATGGAAACTTCGTCTTTGAGAATCCAACCAACAAGGACCTGCATATGCCATATTCGAATAGGAATCCAAGCCAAAAGGTTCCGAAACCTTAGCCACGCCACTTCTTTCTATCTCAACCTTGATCATTGCTCTTCACCTTTTGCCATCAAGGGATAACCTAGTCCCTCACGCGTAGCCTCGTCGGGGAACCAAAACGTTCAACAGCCGCATCAAAAGAGAGACGAAGCATCCAATCATGAAAGCCAATTGCTAACAGAAACCATCAAATGTCGCGAACTAAACGTGGGTCTCCCTTGCGGTTTGCATAGCCGAGAATGAAAGGGCGAACGTGACCAAAGCGAAAGAAAAATCCAAGAAATGACCCAAGACTGACCCAGTGATGATCCCTGTGAAACGCAGCATAGGTTCCGCCAAGCGGCCGACAAAATACGTCAACCTTGGCTCAAAGTTTGCAACTCTAACTTCAACTTGAGGACAAACAATTCAGAGGTTTCGAGGAATACATTCTCAAGATATAAGATCAGAAACAGCTGGACAGACGTCTTATCAGCCATTGACATACATCTAACAGCACAACTTCCCTCTAAGTCATAGGCATGATGCAGTTTTATTTCCTCACCCTTAGCGGCAGGGTCAGATTGAAAACCTCCACTCTCTGGCAGCAACGGCGTAGCGGGGCTTCTAAATAATTGCCTAAAGCATCGTGAGTCTACCCAATAGTTATTCAACCAGGATCCATGATGATAAGGACATGCATGGGGGATCTGACGCTTCACGCATATCTGCGGAGCGTCCTTTTACAGCGGGACCAACTATGATACTCTTCTAGGCACACTGTAACTTCAATTTTAACTGCAAGTTTAAGTGTGACTTACTGAAGTGGTAGGAAATATATGCAGATGATACTAGGCAATGTAGATCTGATAAGCAGAGAACTGTGATGATTTGCAGTTGATCAGAGAATGTGAGAACCTCAATGATTCAAGCTGACTGAGTTGATGTAATGAATGAATAAATGCCGTTCCACAAGCCTGATCAGAATCAGCCGCTGGCAATGTCTATTTTGAGGCTGACTGACATCAAGGTCCCCTAGAATTTCACCTTCGAGAAGCCCGGTTATCTCACAATCCATCTACATGGTAACGATAGGGATCAATTGGAAGGGTTTAGCAAGCCACGCCCCCTTCATTCCCATCTCATTCCCTCACATCGCAATCACAATCACAACTGCAAAACCTTATCAGTCTCTCAACACTCCCCTCCTCAATGTCTGCTGTGTTGCAGTTTCATTAACAACTTGGCCTCAAATCCCTTGCTTTGACCGTCTTAGATAAGAGTAAACAGTGTTTGAGCCTCTCAACACTATAGTCACTTTCCATCCAACCTCTCTTTCACATGGGCACCACGGATAGCTCTCCCGGTGCCGCAACACAATTAGTATCCACTGGCGTGACCGCTGGCTGGGCTTATCCAACAGCTTGGGGATTGGGTTCCTGCGATGAGCACAGACTTGGGCTGAGTTTCTCGGGGTGTGCGTATACGGTATTAGTTACTAGGGCTGATCTGCTGCTGCGCTTTTCGTTCGACCAGCAATCCCTTCATCCATATGATGCTTAGTTGCGGTGTAGGTAGAGACATACCGGGGAACAATGAAGCCAGGCCCGGAACTTGGCAATCAAAAAACTCGGCCTCCGGAAGTTAATTGAATACGGCCACTAAGAGCCCGGAACCCCGCGAAATGGCACAGAGATGGGCTGGGAATGGACTGGATTGCATTGATGTTTGACCTGAAAAGTATCCGAGTCACCTTGACCTTGATCAAGTCACCCCGCCAGAGAGGCAACCCCTAGTCACTGCCAAATGCCGTGCTGGGTGGTGGGTGCTGGGTCAGGTACTTGTCAGTCAAAAAGATACATCTTTTTTGATGGCTTGATGTTCTAGGGCACCCTCCCTAGCCTCCCCTTACAGCGAGCAATGAACGCTCTGCTGGGTTTTACTGATGGGACTGGTCACT